AGAAAACACCTGAGAAACAATTTATAAAAGGAAAAGGGAATGAATATCAAAATTTTTAATAATAATTGTCAATGGTGATGTTCATTTTTGGGTACTAAATGGAGGTATGCAGCTCAAGATCAAAAGATTTGGATTAGCTGTACCCGACTTGTGGTAGAATCTCAGTAATATCATTAATTGTTGTAGAAATTTTAAAGATACAAACACTGTAATAGCTGATTTGTCTTGATGTTCTCGCTATAAAAAAGTTCTGGAAAAGCGCTACTCTTTATTGAAAGTAATGAATGTCACATTTGTGTTTTTTTTTGATTTTGCCCGTCATGTAATTTTCCTAATTATTCTGGAAAATTAGCATGAATGAAGTATAATTTTACTTGGAAATGTAGTTTTGTTAGCATTCATTTGAAGCTATAAATATCTGCTCCAGTAAGTCTGTGTACTTTAAATGAACAAAATAATTTCAAGATAATTGGATCTTGAACTTCGTTACCAGTTTTTCGCATTAGCTCAGTCTCAGCTCCTCTTGGCTCTAGATTTATTGCGTATTCATATTATTTTTGTTTTTTTTTTTACACTTCAAGCTTAGCAAATGCTATTTTTTTCCGTAGTTCAGTCTTGCTGTTGCGATTATTCTGTATTTTACAATATGCCCTATTGGTGGCTTCACCAGTGCTCTGTCTGTGTTTACAACTAAGGAATGAAACACTACTTCCCCATATTCCTGTTGTATATGTCTTGTAATTTCTATGCCTTTCATCTTAATATTTCAACGAAAAGAGGAGGGGGCGAGGTTGCTGTATCCTTCGAGGAATGAGAAACGGAGGTACACCGGAATCGATGGTTTGGAATGAAATGAAATGAACAGATTAGGTTACAGGGCATGAAAATCGGTTGGGCATGAGCAGTGTTTAGCCAGAGGACAAATGAGCTATCTGGAGCGTTCTTTTTTTCCGCCTTTGCTGTTTTGTGTCGTCTCGATACGACTTTTAAATTTTCATCGGAGATGTCGCATTGACGCGATTCAGCTGCGCTGCTGAATTCGCAGCTTGATGAGCCAAAACGTCTTATTTCATTCACTTCTTAACCTTTTAACGCATTCATTCCTCTTATCTTCATTTTTCCTTGTTTCATTTCCTCTCTTCCATAATGTTGTGCATAAGAGGGCAAATTTAGTCAAGAGGAGCAATGAAAACAGGGCGGAAGTGGAGGACAGCTTAAAGCGGCCAATAAATGGGTCCACAGACACTGAAAAAAATGCCATATAAAGAGATAATTAAAGGGCCTTCTTGGCCAGTTCATCGAAACAGACAGGCTTCCTTCTCCCAAATGTTTTACGCCTACGCCATGTATTTGAAGAGGTCCGGTGAGCACTTGCTTGGCTATCGTAAAAAATTGACACTGTGACCTTGAGGCGAATGTAATTAAGATTCTCAGTGATCTTCAGAAACTCGAAATACAGTTTGCTTTTTTCAAAAAAAAAGCTAAGAATTTTATTTCTGAACTTCAAATAATACCTTTTGGTGCCGATCATAGTACGTATGTACAGACAGGGTTAGTGTAATGGCAAGTAGTGTCGCTTTTTTACCCTGAAGATCCAAAGTGTGATTCTGCCAGTGAGCTGTGAATTCTTCTACGTTTCCTTCATAAGTTTCGATGATAAATTGGTACTGGTGCATGCCTAGAAGGCAAACCGCGTAATCAGCTTGCTTGTAAGCCATCCTTGAATGAAGAATCGGTCGATAGCCTTGTCAATGTGCGGTTGCTTTTGGCAGTTGCTACCCGGAGGCCACTATCGAATACCTCCATCTCTTGCATAGATTAAATACGGAGAACTTGTTTTTTAATAGATTAGCAAGGGGCAGGTTACGAGTTTCCTCACTCCTCATTGTAGGCGGATCCTCCTGGGAAAAGGGGGCGATGACGGGTGGGGAAAGGAGAGTCCCCGTATTTAATCTATGCAAGAGATGGAGGTATTTGACAGAAACCCACGCTGGAATCATGCAAAAACTAAGAATAAAGTTGTAACATTACTACTTAGAGTTAATTTAGGCTTTAGTTTTAGCTTTAGACCCGGGCTTTTGCAGCATTGGTGCTTGTGCCCCTGGGGCGAGGGGAGCATTCTGGAACGAAAGGTACCTCCACTCCCCTTTCCCCCTCCATGAATCCGCCTGTGTTCCTCATTGGGGAGGTATTAGGTTAGATATGTTGCGATGTTTTCAGTTCCAGCCCGGAATGAATGAATTTTTGTGTTTAATGTGCTTGTAGAGTGTATAACCATCGAAGAGTGCATAACGTTTTCGAAGGAGACAGAGTGTTCTTTGCATTTGCGCATCTCTGTGTGTGTGTCTGTTCTTTGGGTGTAGAACATGCATTATTGGGCTCCGTTGATTGCCTTTGCCCCTAGGAGTGCGGCACGGACAATATTAGCCTACTGGCCTGTGCTGGAGGAGCAAGAAGCAGCAGAAGCTTACTTCTTCGGCTGGCCCCAGCAGCAGCAACACCCTGAGCTTTTCTTTTATGCTCCTTCAAAAATGTTTCCATTCGTGAAGGACATAATTTTGCACCCTCATTCACCACTGACCAATCCCCATCGCTTCTTTTGCTAGCATTTTCCATTGACAAAAATAATTGTTTTTTGAGAAAAATTTTTCAAATTCGATTGATTGCTTCTCCATTTTTTTCCAGTAAATACTAAATAATTTTTTTTTTTTTTTTGTTATTTAGCTGAATGTTTTCCGTTTCGAACTGAAATATATAGTCCAGTATTAACGGGAACAACACTAACATGAGATACCCACACTGATTACCCAGGCGGTCTTACCCAGGCGGATCTATTCTTGGTACTCTGGAGTAACAATGTCCCCGAAAGTGTACCTCTTTTAACCTGGGAGCCATTTTTTTTAAGTTCAAAAAATTACTTTTTGTAAATTTTTTTTTTTTTTTTGAGGGGTTTTTTGATTTTATTCTGGTTTTTCTTGAAAATTCTTGGTCCAGTTTGCCTTATTTTACGTGGGTTATGGGCGACAGCTTTAGATTTGCGAATTTCCCTTGTATACAAGTTAGTGAAACAAACAAAATGAGTTTTGTTTTTATTCCTGTCGGCTTCTTTTAAAGCAGTCTTCGAAAGACGAAGTCATCGACAGCCTTGCTGGCGGTTGGTTGCTGTTGGATTTGCTACCACTCGGGCTACATGTGGAGTGTTTTCGGCTTTCGTAGAAAGCAACTGTTGCGGAGGAGGGGGGTTCTGACTTTGATTTTCGGGCGCTTCTAGGTAGCCAAGTTTTGTAGTTTTGATAAATTATATATAGTGAAAATTAAAAATAGTTTTATCAGATTAAATATAAGATTTTTGACAAATTAAATACAATAAAAATCAATAATAATAACTTGAAGTTATTATTGGTTGTGTAAAAGGACATAAGACAAAGGAATGTAAAAGTAATATGCAAAGTAAGTAATGGAAGCAGACTATCTTCATGCACTGTGCACTTTTTGTTGTTAAAAACTCACTTGGACTAACTCCTCGGATCCTAAACCCCTTAATTTGAGTCAAAAATGAAGCCTTGCCACTTTTTTGCATATCAGCACCTTACATAAATTGCAAATTTCCACATTTTTACTTTTTTAACCGTTTCCCGATCGAGTCTGGTGATTTTGGTACTGTCTTTGCTTAAATACGATTTTCGTTTGTCTTGTAACAGCTCTGTGTTTTGCTCATTTCGGTATTTTATAGCCCTGGAATGAAGAGTTTTTGCATAAAACTTCCTGGAATTTCTTACAAATTTATGAATTTCTGTATATTCCCGCCTGAAAAGAAGCGACGCTGCTCAATTTTGTCCTTTACTTCTGAAGTTTTTATTCACTGTTAACGCGTACTACAAAGAATTATAAATTGCCACAAATGGACACTGCGGCGGATTCGGCAGTGCTGGCTCAGTGTGATGATTTAGAAATCGCTCGGTTATTCCTGGTTGATAGATTCAAGCGCATATACGAGTCGGTAATGGGCTGCGAGCCACTACATCCTGAGCATTTAATTCGCTATTGCGGACTGATGCTGACGGTGTGCGATTTTATAAAATTTCAAAATAAGCAATTTTTTTGTCAGCTGAATTTGAAATATTTTAGTCGTAAATGAGCAAGGAACATCCCCTTAAAATCCTAGCTTTCCAACTTTTTTCGTTCTCAAGTTAGCAATTTTCGCGCTAAAACTTTCACGTGCCCATACGTGAGGTCGGACGGCTCTAAGGAAGTGATTAACCATTTGATCGGGTTTATTTCAATAAATATAAGTAAAGCTGTTCATTCCTTTTCGTGTTTCTTTTCTCTTGCCGATGTGAAAATTCTCACGCTAGCATTTGCCTGTTTATACAGCTTAGTGGTGAAACAGCAGGAGCAGATGATTGTTTTTGAATTTATCATATTACCACATTCTGGGTTCACATGTCCTTTTCCTATTATTTCTTTCTGTTCTATCGTCCTCATCCTTTTAATAGTATTAAGTGCTCATTTTGATACTTTGATCAGTTGTCGTTTCATTGTTATATTTCCTCGCCACTGATACACCTGATAACTTCTCCATTCTTCTCTATTTTGCGCTCTCTCATCCACATAATTCCACTTAGCCGTTCAAACAGTTCACTTCGTCACAGCAGAGGCCTTCCGTGTTTTTTTTTTAAAGAGGCGCTGGTACCATCAGATTATCCGTTTTGACCACGAATGTATTTTATTCTTGATGAGTAATTAGTCTAGTTGTTCTTCTTGCATGCATTATCTTGATCATGCCGTTTGCATAGAGCCAAAATTGAAGTGATTCGCTTGAAATGTTCTGCAACTTGCCAGCTGTCATCTCT